TTTTCTGAGGAGAAATTCAAGCTGGCTGCAGAAATTTGCATAAGTTATGAGGACCCGAATATTAATCTCCAAGACAATGGGGAAAATGTCTCCAGGGCATGTCAGAGGTCTTCATGGCAGCCCCTCCCATCACAAGCCCAGAGTCCTAGGAGGAAAAAATGGTTTTGTGGGCCAGGCCCAGGGACTCCGTGCTGTGTGCAGTCTAGGGACTTGGTGCCCTACATCCCAGCTACTCCAGCCATGACTGAAAGGGCCCAAGGTACAGCTCAGGCCATGGCTGCAGAGGGTGCCAGCCTCAAGCCTTGGAAGCTTCCATGTGATATTCAACCTGTGGGTTCACAGAAGTCAAGAATTGAGGTTTGGGAACCTCTGCCTAGATTTCAGAGGATGTATGGAAACGCCTGGATATCCAGGCTGAAGTTTGCTGCAGGGACAGGGCCCTCATGGAGAACCTCTGCTAGGGCAGTGTGGAAGGGAAATGTGGAGTTGGAGTGCCCACACAGAGTGCCAACTGGGGCACCACCTAGTGCTGTGAGAAGAGGGCCACTGTCCTCCAGACCCCAGAATGGTAGATCCACTGACAGCTTGCACCGTGTGCCTGGAAGAGCTGCAGACACTCAACACCAGCCCACGAAAGCAGCCGGGAGGGAGGCTGTACCCTGCAGAGCCACAGGGGCTGAGCTGCCCAAGACCATGGGAACCCACTTCTTGCATCAGCGTGACCCGGATGTGAGACATAGAGTCAAAGGAGATCGTTTTGGAGTTTTAAGACTTAACTGCCCTGCTGGATTTCGGACTTGTATGGGGACTGTAGCACCTTTGTTTTGGCCAATTTCTCCCATTTGGAATGGCTGTATTTACCCAGTGCCTGTACCCCCATTGTGTCTAGGAAGTAACTAACTTGCTTTTACAGGCTCCTAGGTGAAAGGAATGTGACTTGTCTCAGATGAGATTTTGGACCATGGACGTTTGAGTTAATGCTGAAATGAGTTAGGACTCTGGGAGACTGTTTTTGGGAAGGCACGATTGGTTCTGAAAAGTGAGAACATGAGATTTAGGAGTAGGAGGGACCAGGGGTGGGATGATATGGTTTGGCTGTGTCCCCATCGAAATCTCATTTTGAATCGTAACTCCCACAATTCCCATGTGTCATTGGATGAACCCAGTGGGAGGTGATTGAATTACGGGGGCGGGTCTTTCCTGTGTGGTTCTCATGATGGTGAATGAGTCTCACAAGATCTAACCGTTTTAAAAGTGGGAGTTTCCCTGCACAAGCTGTCTCTCTTGCCTGCTGCCATTCATGTAAGATGTGACTTCCTCCTCCTTGCTTTCCACATGATTGTGAGGCCTCCCCAGCCATGTGGGACTGTAAGTCCATTAAACCTCTTTTTCTTCCCAGTCTCAGGTATATCTTTATCAGCAGTATGAAAACAGACTAATACAGTTAGTAAGACTGTTTGCATGTATTATAGGATAAAGCAATGAGTAATTATTTTGTTGTAAAAAGTGGGATGTTTTATATCCCAGGTATGGGTATAAGATCAATAAAGTTAAGTAGAAACATTTTAGTCTTACCTAAATTTGAAATAGAACTACTCGTAAGAACCCATAAAGTATTTTCTTGTAAAAAATTATTTCTAGAAACCATCATCAATTCAAAAGCAAGCATTTCTTGCACACAGTATATGATCTCTAAATGCCATTTACTAAAAGAAAGCAGGGCTCCTGAGAAAAATGGCTGATTCCAGATCTGGGCTCCTGGGAAAGAAATGTACAAGATGAGCCTGGAACATCATATTATACACCAGATAGTTAAGCATTTATCAAGGACAATAGGGTGATTTCAAAAGACAAATACCAGATATTATGTGCCTCTGATGAAAAGCATTAGTCATGAAGTAGTCTTGCCAAAATCCCTAACCTAAATCTGATCAGCTACTCTAAATCCAACTTCTAGTTTACAGGAAATGTCAAGGACAGAGAACATGTTAAATCATACTGTTGGTTGCAATCACCAAAATTACTGCAGTGGCTCACGCTTATAATCCCAGCACTTTGGGAGGCCAAGGAGGGCAGATTGCTTGAGCCCAGGAGTCTGAAACCAGCCTGCGAAATACAGTGAGACCCCCAGGAGTCTGAAACCAGCCTGCGAAATCTAGTGAGACCCCCATCTCTACAAAAAATTGAAAGATTCACCAGGCATGGTGACATGCACCTATGGTCCCAGCTACTCTGCAGACTGAGGCAGGAGGATCGCTTGACCCCAGGAGTTTGAGGGTCCCTTGAGCCATGATTGTGCCACTGCACTCCAGCCTGTGCGACAGAA